GGACTGTTGTATTTTCTGTTCGCCTTAGTTTTTCAGATCTTTGCTGTGGAGGGACAGTGTGGTGCTTCTGCCTAGAGCGCCATTTTGCCAGAACCCTGTTTTCCATTTTCTTGATCAGATTTCACTTTACTGTACTTCTGGGTGAATTGATTTTTACATACTCCGAATGCCAGGTGAACATGGAGATCTGCTGTAAATAGTAGCATGATGGGCAGATCAACTTCCAGTTTGAAGAGCTGGCAATCTCTTGAGGGCACAGCAATATGCATGGGAATACAGAGACACTAATTTGGGGCTGCACTTAGCAGGTGGTCCCTATGAAGCTTGTGTAGGATTCTTTTGGGAAGATAGACAAAGTGGCCCAATGCTTCATAATTGGCAGGCTGTCAAAGGAATGGGGAGTGGTGCTGGGAAGGGGTAAAGAATTTGAGTGGGTGACACACAGAGGGAGCAATAATGATTGGGTGGAACACAGAGCTGGCGAAGGTGCAGGTAGAGATAAGCCCAGAGGTGACACTGAGGTGGATTTTTATGGTTATCTGAGAAGTGGGTAATTAAAAAGGAGACCAAACATGCCCAGAGCATCATGGCCACTGTGTCTGCTTGAATAGTACTTACGAGGGAAGCAGCTTCTTGTTGTCACAGTAATGATGATTTCAAAGCATGGGTTGAGCATAGTAGGGTATAGAGTGTATTCTGGGCCCCACTGGTCTTTGGGTGGGCAGAATGCAATGACAGATGCATAAATAATACAAACACCATACAGTAATATTAAAAATTAGGCTGCTGACACCAGATGAGCCCACTTCCCATCTCTGTAGAGTCTGGACTGCTCTTCTGCCAATGGCCAACCTAATCTAACCATGCCTTCTAGACACTCATAAGTGATCTCACCGAAAAGATAAGTAACTGCTGGAAGGAGAGATGAAAGGGCATGAGGGAGGAAAAAGAGGGGTGGAATGAAAGAACTCAGCACTGGAGATGCAAAGCTGTCCCATTAGACCCAAAGCTCAGGAAAATGGATAGACTTTTCCTCTGTTGCCCATACCAGAACCCATTGCTGCTGAGTCAATTCCAACTCATAGTGACCCCATAGGATAGAGTAGAACTGCCTCATAAGGTCTCCAAGGAGCAGCTGGTGGATTCGAACTGCCAACTTTTTGGATAGCAGCCATACCTCTTAACCACTGTGCCACCAGAGGGCCATGTTGTTGTTGTTGTTATGTGCCATCGAGTCGGTTCGGACTCATAGCGACCCTATAGACCCTAAATGAGCTCTCCTTCACCCTAATGACAGCTCAACATAATGCCAGTAGAAAAGTTCACTCTCTGTTTTGGAACCCATCAGTCTGGCGACCTTGAATATGTAGATTAATTGGGTGAAATAAAGGTGTACATTGGAAGCACCCCAGAACATAATTTGTAGAGATAAGAGAAAAAAAAATCACCTTGTTATGGCTCAGTAAAAAGACACAAGTCTTTATTCAGATGATGTATTGAACAAGATTCAGGTCCAGAGTGGAAATAACCTACTAACATAGGAGACATCACTTACCTTATGAATGTCAAACACTTTTTCTGCAAAAACACCATTGGAGATGCTGAGCTGGTAATCCTTGTGGGACGCGTTTATATCGGAGAGAACTCTTTTCAGTTGAGATTGGAGTCCTAGCTGATATTAAAAAGATTTATAAAAAATTATTCTTGGACTGCAAAATTATGCATAATCTCATCTACCCAAGAAATAAAACATGTCTGTTATACCACAAAAGTATGAAAAATAATGATGCTATAAAAGCAGCAATCAATATTGCATATATCTACAAACTGTAAGCTGTTATTATTTAACTCAAAAGCTAATTACAGTCATGAGTTTTTAATCACTGGTTTAGGCAAAATTCTGTCTTCTGTGTGCTACTATGTGCTACTGTGCTAGATTTTAAAATCTCCACATTAACCCAATTGTTTTATGAATCTTGAATTTTCTAAGTGTCATATATATCTCATACTGAAAGTTTTGAAGTCCAAGTTTTTTAAAGACAAGCCCATGACCAACCATACTGTCTAATTTGAGAGGTTATCAGAGTTTTAAGATAGTGACTATTTAAGCAGCTTTGTATATTAAAGTGAAGGTTGATGACTCTATTTGAGGTCCTCCGGGCTCTGAGCTTCTCCTTCCCCTCCGTAACAGCTTAGTGGAATTGAGCAGACAACAGGGAAAAGAAAGGAGAGAAAACATGAGGCTCAGCAATTAATTTTAAACATATTTAACTCTGAAAATAAGGTTGGTTCGGAGAGGGTGTTACTAAAGTGAAAAGTGAATTTAGGATGATTATGTCTATGTTCTAACTTTCACTGTCTCCAATTCTCAAAGATGCATAAAAGGTGAATGCTATTAAAGTCATCTTTTTAAATGGTTTTGGATATAAATAAAGGCCTTTTCCATTCCTTGTGTGCAACAATGACAGTCCGTGAGTTAGTTTATCTGCTAGTTTTCCACCTGTGAATGCCTACTGTACACACAGCTCTTTACTATATGCTATGAGTGAACGCACTTGAGGAATTTCATGCGCATGATGGAGATAAGAAAACAAATAGACAAAAAGGAAAATTGAAGCATCATTGTAAAGACTCATACAGATTTATTTGGATCCACAAATAACAGCATTTAAATATTTGTTCATTCCCAAACCAATCCTTCTAATAAATGGACTTTGATTCTTTCCTACTTCATTTATTTCACAAATGTTTATTGGGCACTGTGATAGGAATTGAGGATATAAAGGTTTTAGATGTGGGTCCTAACCTCCCTGGGCTAGTCTATAGTCAACAGAAAACTTTATAATGTGGTTATGAATATTATGTTCCCTGGACTCTTTCCAAAAGGCCCAGAATAGCATAGTCTTTAAGTCTTCTTCTCTAACTAAACTAGTGGTAAATGGTATTTAAAGCATTACAATTGTTCTCAGAGCTATATGTTTTATAATAGAAACTAATAAATTAAAACTTCATCTATCCAAATATTTTGAATTCATATGAATGCACTGAATGTTTCTTTAGAATAATCATACTTTATTGATGTCTACAGTACCTATCCCAACTAGAGTATATAGAATAAATGCTGATTCAGTTGATTAAGCATCAGTCTCTCTCTCAAAGGAAAAAATATATACAGTAATTAGGCACATCTGGTTATTGAAATAGCTACCCAAAAGACCTCAGTTAAGCTGATTTATTTACTCCCAGTTTTTAACTTTTTTTTTTTATCTCCACCAATAACTGCTTCCAAGTAGAAAAAAATCCCTTTTGATTTGTTTTTCTTAAGAAAAGCTATGGGCTATTGTCATACTCCTTCTTGAATCTAATCTCTTGGTCTAATTGCTCACTGATGCATGCAGCAAGAAAAAAAATGGCATGTTTATTTATTATGGTTGTGTTTTATAATTCATTTTTAAAGCTCAATAGTCATCTTTAAGAAAAGATCATGCTGTTCTGAGTAAATAAAAAAATTAATTTCTACACATACTTGAATTCAGTAATTCTTCTACTTTACAACAGAAAACTAAGTTCTGCTCCTAATAGCTCTCTGATCAAATTTAACTAAAGGGTTTACTAAAATAAATAATTAACATCTTGGAATAAAATTCACAGAAGATAATGAATTTGTCCAATATGTGTACTAAATAATTCATTTTACCAATATAAGCTGGCTGTGAACGTCTTAGGAGAAAGGAAAACGTTTAGTTCCACACCGTCTTGCCAAAATCTGGCCAACACACAAGTAAAATAATGGTAAATTAATAATTAACAAGTACCTTACCAAAAGGTTTATTTGAAATGTCCACAATCAGGAAATTTGAATGAGACGTGTTTCTTTGCTTTGAAAAAGTGGAGAACATATTTAAACATACTGGTGGTACAGGAATTTTTTCTGTTTAGTTTCACATTCATTTATCTGAAAGAACCGGGGCTTTACCTGAGTGTGAGAAGCGTTTCCACATTCTGAGACAGTGTTAAAGTGAAGCATCAGCAAACAGGGCACAAGGAAAGAGGCTGTCAGAGATAGAGGTTGCTACTGGAATAGTTAGCAAGAGTTTTTAAAAATGAAAATAATTATTTCTTTCCCAATAAATGTGTCTAAGTGCCAACCCAAGGTCACTAGTGTCCGGAAAGGATTCACTCCATGTCACCAAATGAACATCAATGGGCTGGAAAGGAGAAAAGCATGTTCCATTTTTAATTTTCATTAAATTTTCTTTCTTGTCTGCCTCCTGCTATCTCTCAGGTACACCACCAAAGCAAATCCGTTGCCATCAAGTCGAGTCTGACTCATAGCGACCCTGTAGACAGAGTAGAACTGCCCCATAGGGTTTCCAAGGAAGAGCTGATGGATTTGAACTGCTGACTTTTTGGTTAGCAGCCGAGCTCTTAACCACTACACCACCAGGGCTCCATTAATATCATAGACTTAATTTATCATTGATATATCTTTTTTATACCTTCCTAAAGTGAACCCTGGGGACGCAACACTTAAAAACTCGTCTGCTAACCAAAAGGTTATTGAGCTCTCCAGAGAAAGAAAATAATTATTCTAGCGTAAATTATCTGCACAAACAGTCTTCAACAAGTACTTAGGTGTGACAGGTTACAATAGGGATAAGCTTCTTCTAGAGTCGGAATCAACTACAGCACACAACAGCAACTGCGCTCACTTACGAACTATAAAATCGGTGGGCGGAAAGGGTTGACGTCAAGGTCTCCACATGCAACCTGGACCTCGTACCTCCCCTGCTGTTGAGCTACTGAATTTAGGTGACAAATTTCTGAGAGAAGACAGGGAAAATATGACCATCTTACCTACCTGAAATCTCCGCTCAGAGCTGAGCACAAGCGTAAGTGAATAAACACCTTCTGAGGGTGGTGGTTGTGGGGGTAGTGGTGAATGTGATGCTCGTTCAGGTTGGCTGCTACTGTCTGGAAAGTACTATTAAGTTGTTTGTGCTTCCGTCACTAGGACTTTATTGCTATCTCCTTCTAGCTCTACTTTCTCATCCATGTGTACTGAGGCATGGTTCTCAAACTTCAGTGTGCACCAGGACGGCTAATTAAAACATAGATCGCTAGGCTCTGTTCCCATAGTTTCTGATTCAGTAGTTCTGGAGTGGAGCCCAAGCATTTGCATTTGTAGCAAGTTCTCCAGGTGATGCTGATGCTGCTGGTTGAGAACACTCTACTAGGAGAAAAAAATTAAATCTGAAGTTCCAGTACTCCTGCTGCCTCTCCGCTCAAAAACAAGCGCTCAGAAACCTGCGGAGGGATTCACTGAGATGTGTGAAGATTACGCATTGTGTTATCGGTTCAAATCCACCAGGCTCCTTGGAAACTCTATGAGGCAGTTCTATTCTGTCCTATAGGGTTGCTATGAGTCGGAATCGACTGGGCAGCAACGGGTTTGGTTTTTTGGTTTGGTTCTCTAATGATAAGGAGCTCTGCTCGTGCAGTGGTTAAGTGCTCAGCTGTTAACAGAAAGATCTGAAGTTTGAACCCACCTGTCGCTCTGCAAGAGAAGGATGCGGCAGTCTACTTCCGTAAAGATTGTAGTCTTGAAAATCCGATGAGGCAGTTCTACTCTGTCCTACATGGTCGCTATGAGTTATAATCGACTTGATGGCAACGAGGTTTTTTGTTTGTTTGTTTTTTGTAATAGTTTGTCTTTTCATGGGGACAATTGCAGGGAAATATTTTCTTGGGAAAAACAATTTGCCCAGATGACTATTTGCAGAAGCCATGGATGGTAGAACAACCAAGACCGACCTTATCAATCCGAGACGCACTGTCCCCTCGGGCGCCCAGACGGACCAGGGCCAGGGTGGTGAAGAGGCTGAAAGAGGAGAAGAACACATTTCCACTCTCTTGACTGTTGTCTATCTCTCTGAACAGGTTGAAGCAAAAGTCTGCATTTGCTGCAGCAAGAGAGGCCATTATGAAACTGCCAGCATCCCGGAGAACAACAGAAAGACAGTCCCGAATGCATTTTCTATGAATATTATGGTTCTCATACTCATTTATTTTTAAATTCCAAGCTTCATTTCTTCAGCCTTAGATTTAATCACAGAATAACTTGGAACAAAAGATACTACGACAAAAATTTTTTCGGCCCAGCATCCTTGTTACCAACAACCTAAAATTATCTTTGCCGGCAATGATATTACGATGCACTCATTTTTTTTTCACATTGATGTCCTTTAGTGCCACGTTTCCACCTGTGTTCTCCTATTCATGTCTAGGACATCTTCCCTCGTCTCTGCAGTGTGGCATTTCCATCCTCAGTGGCCTTTGATAGTGTTCTTTTCAAGTCCCAAGCAGACACATTCATGAGACCTACCATTTCTCAAATCACCCCAGCTTTCTAAGCTGAAATAGAGCAAAGGCACTGTTTAAAGAAAATTAACTATTACAGAAGTAAACTATCTATTCGAGGGGTTATACATTACACATTCCTAGAGCACTCATGCATCCTCATTTTGGGGTGGGGGACTGTCATAATTTCAAATATTACCAATGTAAGTGTATTTCTTCTTTTCAGACCATTTTCTGATTTTTTTTTTAATAGAAGATGAGTGTACTATGTTATATACCATGAAAATGCATAAGACTTTCCAAAACATAGGTCTGTCTCTTTTTAGAGAATCTAAGGGGGAAGAATAATTTAGAAGCCAAGACAATGAGATCATCTTCACATTCTGGATTATGTTGTTTCTGGGATATAGAGGGTTACTGTCACAATGAAATTCTTCAGGGCTTTGCTTTGGTATTTCTTTGCAAACTCTCACTACAAAGGTCAAACCAATCCCAATACCACAGTTTGGGTTGTCTCAGACTAAAAGAATTTACATGGATAGTCCAGGTTATTCCCTTAAAAGCACTGTGACGTGACCATTATTTTACATGTGATGGTGTGGAGGGTTTCAAGAGTCCTAGACTAGGAACTGAGAGGCCCAATAACTAGTACTAGCTCTGTTACTAATAATTGTGTGACCTGGTTCAGGTCTTTAGCTTCTCTGAGCTTCTAAGTTCTCATCTTATTCAGTGAGATGGTCTATTTACAGGAACTAGTGCAATGATCCTCAACAGAAAATCATGTGTCATTCCACCCTGGCCCCCTGCAAAAGGAGCACGCCATAATATCAGACATTTGGGTGAAGAGGTGAAGAAGGTCATGAAGAGGAAGATATATGTAGTTTCAAAAAGAATATTTTTAAATTGCCACTGTGTTGACTTTGTAGCTGTCACAAATACTTAATGCATTTTAAAATAACAAAAGACATTAAAGTAAGTTTTTTTCAATTTTTATTTTATCAAAAGGAAGCTTAAGTTAAAAAAAAAAAATTGAGACACAACTGTTGTAGTATAATGCCTGACCCATAGTAGGAATTCAATGAATTGCAGCTGCTACTATTATCTGTAAAATGGTATTAATCTGTTCCATCCTAAAAGACACCAAATTGGGCATTTCCAGAAAGAGTGCTCCTGGGGGGCCCATACTTTGCACTTTGTAATCCCAAGCCCTAAGAACATCACTGAGGCACAATGTCATAAATGATGCTGATTTTCAGGCTCGAGTTCAGTGACATTGATTACTGTAAGCCCCAATCCTCAGTTACACACCAGGAGTACAGGGTGAGAAAATCTCCTCGTTCTTAGCCTCACACCCCCTTCATGCCAGGAAGGAACAGCCTTTATCTATGAACTCCTTTTGGAAAATTAACATTGATTTCATAACGAAACCAAGAGATCCTGGGGGAAGAGGGGGAGCAGCTGTGATTGGAGCAACAGCAGAAACCTGTTCTAGCAAAGGAGAGAAGGAACAAAAAAGGGAAGCCCAGGATGGGAGTTTGGGGGTTCAGGACGGTATCATCCAGTGAGTCCTACTGGCAGGGTCTAAAGGCGCCCAGACTGTCCAGGGACACAGAATCATATTTTAGACCTGAAAAATAAGTATTGCTTTGACAAGAAAAATTTTTTTTATAATTTTAAGATAAAATTTACAAGTATATAAGTAAATGTACTAAAATGCAGCGTGAGTTTCTTTTAATATTAAAGTTAGTAGTCACAAAAATTTCCTCACTTTTGGTAGGAAATTATGTGCGAGATTCTCTCTCTTCAAAAAGATTCCCAAGATTTCATGACGATGGCTGAAAATCATAATCAAAGCAATTCAAAAGCAAAAGCAAAATAATCCTTTCCAGATATTTACATGAAAATTGTATTTATACATCCCAGATTGCAAAAAAACACACACTTCAAGGCACATTTTTCTTTGGGTAAGTCCCGATGCTTTTTGTTGCTTTACAAATTTATGTCTTACTCTTTTATACCTTGGGGAAACAGTCCTTAGATGTTTTTGTAAATCATTCTTAAATCACTTTCTAAGCAACCATCACACATTTCATTTTATAGCCTTTTAGTCATCGTGGCAGCTTTTCATAAAACTATCGTTGTATTGAAGAGAAGAGATGCTACATAGGAATTTGTTCATTGAGACAATCAAGTTCATAATCTTTATAGTTTAGGTAAATGTTATGGAAGAGAAATCCTACTAATAAGTAATGATCACAGAGAAACACGACCTGAGACATTCCTAGACGATTATAAAATCTCAAGCAATAATTTAAAATATGATAAATGGTACTAAATAGTATACACTTACACATTCTTCTACAGACATGCTCATGCACTTGGAAAATAAATACCAAAAAATGTTCCACCTCACTTAATTGTTTTTATCTTTATGCAGGTGCACTGTAGTTTCGAGAAATGAAAGCACGATTATTTCCTCCTCATCAGATATAGAGTCGAAATCCCATTGGCAAATAACCATTCTTAAGGCTGAATTGTTTTACACCTCAAAGCTCCACCAGATGACAAATGAATAAAAATTAGCATTGTGCTAAAACTATGGTTTTCCTTTTTCCCCAAAATTACTTTGCACAGCAACTTTAAAAAATAAATAAAAACAGCAACAAAAGTGGACTAAAAAAAAACAAGCTGCCAATAAGTACCTGATGATATGAGTCTCAGTTAAATAACTAAAGGAAAGTAAGTTACGTTACACTACAGACGACAATGTTACGGTGACACTACCTAGTATGGCGTTGTCCACACATAACAATGAAGGAAAACTCTTTTCAAATCGTTACAGAACTTAGCTATACAGATCAATTTTTCATTTCTTTAAAATATACCATATGCTTATGTTTCTTATATCAACAGTTTAATATGCAAGTATATAATTAATTTATAAGTTTTGAGTTATCACAAATTAAGAAGTACTCATGAAGTTTTTTAAGTCCCAGACTTTAGACTTGAGGATCTAAAAATTCACGGCAGCCTGAAGCTTCTTGATTGTCACTATGGTGTATTTTAATCTGACAGTGTTTTTACCCCGTTCCACTTATAGTCAACATAATATATGTCTCAAAACAAAATAGAAATTTTCTCACCGAAGCTTTCTAAAAAGTGTAAGAAAAAGATATAAACACAATTTTTCAAATAAAGCGTAAGTAAAACCAGGCACAAAGCTCAGTGAATAAAACATGAAATGATAAGGTAATATTTCACAAACCTAAGCAGTGGCACAGTGGTTAAGCGTTCAGCTGCTCACTGAAAGGTTGGCAGTTCGAACCCACCAGCCACTCCTGGGGAAAAAGATGTGGCAGTCTGCTTCCATAAAGATTTACAGTCTTGGAACCTTACGGGGCAGTTTTACTCTGTCCTACAGGGTCGCTATAAGTGAAAACTGACTCGACAGCAATGGGTTTAAGCCTATTCTACTTAATTTATCTAATTGATAAAGTATGTGCCTTAAGTGTTTTGATAGAAATATTATCTAATCTTGATAATTTTGTTTGTACAAGGAAAAGTAATCATAGTTCATGATACATTATTAAGGGGAAAAAAATTCCCATGTTTACTGAATACATTACTGGGGGAGAAAAACAAGTAACTACTCTTGAACGTGCATTATTTTTATTCTTATCACGTAAGTGAGACGTTAAAATATAGTTATTCCTCTACAGAAGTATTTTAAAATCTTCAATTTCCTTTATAAACATGGTTTCAAATTTTGATAAATCCCTACTAATCCCTAATCAGATGAGGGATTGGCTATGTCACTAGAACAGAGTTCATTTCAAATCTCCAAAATTAGTATATCCTTGTGGGGATTGCAACCAATGTCACAAAACCATTTGTGTATAAATTTTTGAATGAGAAACTAATTTGCTCTGTAAACTTTCACCTAAAGCACAATAAAATAAAATAAAATAAATTAGCATATCCTAATCCATACTGCGTTAAAGAAGAACACTGGAAATAAAGACTCTAGAGCTGTCCATATTTCCCCAAGTGCTATTTCTCTCTCCCAGGATCGAGCGCTTTGGTCTCTTACCCCCTGCACTGTGCCGTGTTGTTCCCCACTTGAATTTCTCCTGACACCGCTTACAGTCAGCCATAGAGAAGCCCTAAGGTAGAGACGTTAAGAACAGGACCAAACAATTTTGGTATTGTTTGATGAGTTTAGCGTCTCAATACAGAGAAGCAGCCACCATCAATTCATTCATTCATTCTCATTCTCTCCCTCTCTGTCTCTCTCTCCCTCCCTACCCCTCCCCCCACCGCCCCCTTACTCAAAGGGTCTCACCAGACTTTAAATTGTGGACTTCAGAAATATTTACCTTACTGTCTTCATAGTGGAAGCTAGCAGCTGATTGGGTGAGTCTGGAAGAGTTCCTCACCGTACTCTGAAATATAAAGCCTCTGACGCAGACATTCCCTGACTCCTTGTTTTCTCTAAGAGGTTGGGATGACCTTGGTAATTTTAACATGAAATTATGTTCAGGACCTTTACAGGGTGAATTAAAACAAGTTTGTAGAGTGTTGTTGTAGAGTACTAGTATTAGAGATCCAACTCAAAGAGCTCA